AAGGACATATTTCAGAAAACCTTTGATCTCCGTAGTCTCAGTCTCAAAGCATTTCATTTATAACCAAGACAACCTGAATTTCTGTTAAGTACGTATTGAATCATTCATATATGATTTATCTCAGTCTTATGTTTTTTCAATTGAATTGCTGCTTAAAGCAACGGGTAGATCCATCCTGGGTGTTCATTGGAAGGACTGATGTTGAAGCTGAAACTCCAATACTTTGGCTACCTGATTCGAAGAGCTGACTCATTTGAAAAGACCCTGATGCTGGGAAAGATTGAGGGCAGGAGGAGAAGGGGACGACAGAAGATGAGATGGTTGGATGGTATCACCGACTCAATGGACATGGGTTTGGGTGGATTCTGGGAGTTGGTGATGGACAGGGAGTCCTGGCGTGCTGCAATTCATGGGGTCGCAAAGAGTTGGACATGACTGAGCGACTGAACTGAACTGAACACTTGTATTATCTACTCAATTTGTCAAGCAGTATGAACTTAGCCTACAATTAATTCTCTTAAATGTAAAGGAGAGTCCTTTAGTTCTACTGTGTTAAGATTTGTTTAATAAATGTGTGTGTGCCTTTACCATTCATGGTTACAGATACAGTCACCATATTCTACTCCAGTTTCTTAGTTCCAAGTCCTCTACGTTGTATAAGACAACTAATTAAAACATGTATTTTTTCAATTTTTATGGTCATTAAGCCATTATTTATAAGCAACACACTCATATTACTATTTCTTAATTTGTCAATTTAAGCATTAGTTAGTGACTTTTTGCTATCCTTTATAGTATATAGTATATAAATACACAGACACATGCACCAAACACTCTATATTATCCTTTAGATAAAGTAGTAAAGTTATACTAGAATCAACACAGAATTCTTATAATTTTTTCCGGCATCAAGTGCAGTAAATTTTCATCATCACTTTGAAGTGAAATTTAAATTCTAATCAATATAGTTGCATGTATATTTGTAATGTTAATAATAAATTATTACAGGACAATAAAACATTTCACTTAAATATTTATCCGCTAGTTGTCCTATCATTCAACAACTATGTTGTTTTCATTTATTTAACAACTATGTGCAAAGGTCTGGTCTAGATGTTGGGGACACAGTGGTTAATGAGACAGAGAAAATTAGGCCCAAATATAACTTACAGTGTAGACAGGAAATTTAAAAAAGTAAACAAATCCATAATAATACCATACAGTAATTGGTGTTATGCGTATCCCAGAAATATATAGGGATGCACTGCTGTTTTAGAGAAATTTGGCTAGGGAATATTTCTCTGTGGAGATGACATTGGTGCAGAGACATGAATGATGAGAAGGAGCCAGTTGTGAGGAGAGCAGAGGGAAGACCATTTCAGGCAGAGGGAGCAGTAAATGCAAAGGCTCTGAGGCAGAAGAAATATGCTTGGCATTTTGAGGGGCACAAAGAAGAAAAATCTGGCTGCAATGGAATGAGCAAAGGAGAGTCATAAGAGGTGAGACAGAGATTAGAAAGGGACAGGGACCTGGAGGCTGTGGTAACCAGAGTATCTTTTATGTGAGTGTAATTGGAAGCTACCAGAGAGTTTTAGGGTGTGGAAGAAGTGATTTCACTTAAGGAAAGAAGACCACTGTGGCTGCTTCATGGAGACTAGACTATAGGAGGGCAGAGCTAGACGTAAAGAGACTAGTGAAGGGGGCCACTGCTGTGGGTCAGTAGAGAGATTAGGATAACTAGGACTAGGCTGTAAAGACATTATCCATTTTTCTAGAAACAGTCGAAACAGAATTTTTTTTTTTTTAGCAAGTCTTAAACGAAATTTGAGGCTATAAATAATTGGTAAAATGAGTGCAATGACATGGTTTTGAATATTTGACCATGTATGGTATCCGAATAACCCATGATCTTGATTTTGGGACTTGGCATGTGTTCTTCCATTTGTAATGTTATTCCTTTCTCATCATGCTAAATTTTACTCATCATCCAAGTCTCAATTCTAAGCATATTTTCAATAAGCCTTCTCTAAAATCACCCAAGGGCTGTCATTTGTTTGTCCTATGTCCTATGTCCCACTTGCATCCTGATTTATGCATTTTACAACTCATAATTGTTCTTTTTTTATTTATTAAAATTTTCCCCCATTTTTATTGAAATATAATTGATAGTACTGTATATGTTTTTGGGGGGCTTCCCAGGTGGCTCAGTGGTAAAGAATCTGCCTGCCAATGCAGGAGACAGAGGTTTGATCCCTGGGTCAGAAAGATCCCGTGAAGAAGGAAATGGCAACCCACTTCAGTATTCTTGCCTGGGAAATCCCATGGACAGAAGAACCTGGCATGCTACAGTCCATAGAGCTGCAAAGAGTCAGACATGATTTAGAGACTAAACAACAACTGTATAAGTTTAAGGTATACATCGTAATGATGTGACATATACATCATGAAATTATTATCATAGTAAGTTTAGTAGTGAATATCCATCTTCTCATATAGGTGCATATATGAGATGCATCATCTCATAAATGAAAAAGATTTTTTGCCTTGTGGTGTGAGCTCTAAGGATTTACTCTCTTAATGACTTTCATATGTTGTATATTATATCTCTAGTACTTAATTATTTTATAACTGAAAATTTGAATCTGTTTTTAACTACCTCTAACTACCTTTTAACCTTTTTTTACCTTTTAACTACCTTTTAACTACTGTTTTGTCTGTCTTCCCCACTAGACTGTAAGCTCCTAGATGCCAGGGACTATCTTATTTACTCATCTTATTCTATGCATTTAGAATTAGACAATTAATGAATAGTTGTTAAGTGAATAATCAGAATGTCTAATAGTGTGCTTATCATGAGTTGCCGAATTCTTAGATTACTTGTGTGAAACAACTATTTCATTAACAGACTAGAGTAGGTAATTTCCTTCACCTTGCACTGTGTTGGATAACTCTTAGAAAAACTCCTGAAACCCTTTCACATTAAGAACATGGCCTTTTTGTCATCTGTTACAGATAGACGGTGGAATGGCTGCTGGGGATTCGTAAATGTTGAAAGGATGTCGCTCTTCACCAGGAGTCGGGCTGGGATGGAGTGGGGCTTGGGAATGGGCAGCTTGTTGTTACTCCCTTTCTGGCAGCTCCTGGGTTTCTGGCAGTAGAGGGTAAGGGCCGAGGGAGCAGCCTGAGTGGTAGATTGTGCCTGCTCCGCTCCAACACCAAGGCCAGTTGGAGTTCAGCACAGGGATTTCTTGCCTTTTCTTTGTCTGCAGTTTCTTTCATGTAGTGTTGCTGAACTGTGAAGTAGCTGAAGCAATATTGATATGCAGGTATATGATTTATTATCAACATGAATTTGAACAACATTAGTGGGGAGTGCATCAGATCTGCAGTACTCTGCGCAGTTGAAGATTCCTCACCTGAGATATAAATCCTTTTCAGGCCTTTCCAGACCTTCCTTTAAGGTGGAGCTAACCTCTAAACTGTAGCGGGCAGAGGAATTGCCTGGAGAGCATGTTAAAACTGGATTCCTGGATGCAACCTGCAGAGCTTCTGTTTTTTAGTTCTGGGGGAGGAGCCTGAGAAGGTGATTTTTCTGAAAATCCTCTCTGGTGATGCTATCGCCTCTGGCTCCTGAACTACTCTTTGAGCAGGAAGGAGCTGGACTGTGCTTCCAGCTTCTGTTTGCTTTAGTTGCATGTGCTTTCTTTTCTTGGTGCTAACATCGTTTGGGGCTGTTCACTGTTGAGAAACTCAGAAGGGATATGCACAATATGCTTGGACCCAAACCTTCAACTCTGCTCAGTCAGCATCTTCCGGGATCCCCTCTCTCTTAGGATACAATGACTGCGTGCTTCTCCACAGTTCTGCCTCTTTTGTTTCTCTCTTCTACATGGTCTGGTTGACCAGAAGTTTCTCTTGGGTTTTTTACCCATTCCTTTTAAATATATCTACTAACTCGTGTCTTTCCCTCCATCTATATAATAGATTGCTGTTCTGATTCTCCTTCAAATCAGTATTCCTCACTCATCATTCTTCCACATTTTATAGGTTTCTTTTAAAATCTTTTTTATAGCCCCATAAACATTTCATTTGTGATACTACCCAGTCTTTATGGCTCAACTTTTTCTTTTTCTTCATATTCATCTGGTACCACAGTACACTCCCCTCAGGAAACAAATAATATTCCTTGTTATAAATCTGCTTACAAAACTATATAAAATTATCTAAGCCACTGGTCTCATCTTCTGTATCATTTTAACCAGGCTCAATTGCTGTTTGGAAAAGCAATTGACCTCTCTGAAATTGATTTGATCTATCCCCTGTAATTTGCCAATATTTTTTCTAATTTTTAATAATTGAGGTATAATTTACATTCAGTAATATTTACCCTTTTTAGTGTACAGTTGAATGAATTTTCATAGATGCATAAGTCATGTAAGCACCATCAGCACATCTGAGACATAAAACAGTCCAATCACCCCCAAAAGTTCCCTCGTGCTCCTTCCTGGCACCCCTCTTCTCCTCACTCCCAGCCCTTGGCAATCACAGATCAGTGTCCTGTCTCTGTAGTTTTGTCTTTTCCAGAATGTGGAATTAAAATAGAAATGTTTTATTACATTTAAACTTGAATTTAGTCCTTGCCTTAAAAGAAATCATTCTAAAAGTTGAGGGTGGGTAAATTTTATGCCAGCATACTCAGCTCTTCTTGTAGTAATTATTTTGTTTTATTTAGCATTTTAATAGAATGATGTGCAGTTTGGCATTTCATTTACTTTGGTTTCAGGACATTGTTCTTTTTCTCCAAAATAGTCTTCCTTTTCTCTTTTTGTTTTAAAAGGAAAGAATTTTTTAAAAAGCACTTTCTGAAGGCATTCAGATATTAAAGGTTTTGTTTATTTCATTTACTTGCTGTTTAATAAACTAGAAAGCTAAGTCATGAAATATATAAGTTTTTTAAAGGTAGACAAACTAACATTTCTTTTCATCTTTCTTTCATACAGGTGTTTGCTTCAGGATGGTAAGTCAGTACAATCTCTTTATTATTTTCTGCCGTCTCTGCCCTCCCTCCACTGTTATTTCTAGTTACAGAGACAGAGCAGTTATCTATGTACTTAGTTCTAATCTTCTCCTTGACAGTGAATGAGGAAATATTTGTATTTCTTTCAAATTACTGGCTGAGATTTTTATGAAGACTGTCTTTAAAAGCAGTCTATTAAAAAAAGACTAGTTACAGACTAGCAGTCCATTACAGCTTTCCTAGTTTTTCATTAATATTTCTGTGAATTTCAAAAGTTCCTCTCTGGGGTGATCCAGTTAAACATTTTGGTTATATATGCTTAATGCTGAAGTGACTGAGCAAACACACACACATGTTTAATACAAAGTGTGGGAAATTCCACTTGTCCAGGATGGAAGTATCTTTCCAAACAAGGATACACATCTTGAAATGCAGAATGAGAAATGCCCATGTTGAATAAGGAAGTGACTCCAAGGTGAAAGAAAGTGGTAGTTGCTCAGTTGTGTCCAACTCTTTGTGACCCTACACTTTGTGAGCCCACCAGGCTCCTTTGTCCGTGGAATTCTCCAGGCAAGAATACTGGAGTGGGTAGCCATTCCCTTCTTCAGGGGATCTTCCCGACCCAGGGGTAGAACCTGAGTCTCCCACTGGAAACGCTTTACCGTCTGAGCTGCCAGGGAAGCCCCTAGGTTTTTAAAGTTAAAACCCCTTGTTGCCTTTTAAATATTTATTTTAAAATATCTGCTTGTTTTAAAATACTTTAAGATTATCTATTTTTAAAATCTGGTACTCCTTTCCTAAAAGTTAAAGGTGGCATATATTTTCACCTACTTTTTAAGCTGGGAGTCACTAGCTAGGTCCCTGTTCCTAACCTCTGAGAGTTTGAACAGGTTGCCGTAAGTCGAGTCTCCGTATTTTGAGATAGACCCTCCCCTGCAATTCAGATAGTTTCCTTTTTCATTTTTCTCTGGGAAGACTTATTTTCAGAACCAGCCCTTAAGCAACCCTAGCTGTAATCATCTTGGTTTGTATTGCTCCATTTAGTTGAGCATTCAGAGTGCACAGCTCTCGGTCGCCCTGGCCTCCAACTAGGAGAAAAGCATGTTTCCAACAAGTGCTGGTAGACTGGTTCCACAGAATTTTGTTGTGATGTAGTTAAAGTAATTCAAAATCAAAATGTTTCTGGGTTTTCATGTGTCAGTAGTGTAACTAAATTTGGAATTGGGAAAAGGAATTTTAAGAAAGAATGATTGGAGAAATAAATTTACTCATAGACAATTATAATACTTGTGGCAAGTACAGAGTCAAGAGAAAACGTCAGAATCTTCTCTTTCAGTACTTAGTATTGATTGTAACTGGATATTTTTCTTCAGTGACGGAGTATCTTGGCGTGATCATCGTTTGGAACCCAGATTGACAATGTAGTTTAGCATTAGGAGATTGTGAGGGCAATGCAACTGAGTTTTATGGATTCCAAAAGAATCATGGATAATGTTTTCTGAAATAATTCCCACCATCAGTTTATTTTCTCACAACATGCTTTTCTTTTTTTTTACAACATGCTTTTCTTTACTGAATGTGGAATGTAGCAAAACAAAACAAAAGCCATTTAAATGAAGGTTCTTGTAAATGTAGGTATTACCAGAGGTCAGCTACATAATTTTTAGCATAGACTATATTTTAGAAAAAAATTAATGAGCTTTTTGTGACCATACTTTTTTGAAAGTTAGGATCAAGTGTGACACTGGACTTTGTCTCTCTTGTTTTCTCCTGAAACCAGTACACTGAAGATGAGGCTAGGAAAATTGGAGTGGTTGGCTGGGTGAAGAATACGAGCAAAGGCACTGTGACAGGCCAAGTGCAAGGCCCTGAAGAGAAAGTCAATTCCATGTAAGTAATAAGACTAGTAACACACTCGTGTGATTTATGTTTGGTTGGACAATAAGAATAGAATTGATGGGCCAATTTTTGTTTGTAGACTATCGCTAAACTAACATGTTTTGACGTAGACCAGCACAGAAATTCTTAAAGTTGAGAGTGGAATTTCTACTTTCAGGGATGGATTTCCCACTTGGGCAGACCCTCAGAAAGGACTTTAGCATCATTCTCCAATCTGTATGAACTGTGTTCTCTCAGTCTCCTGTCATATAAGGGAGACATCCAGGGTCAAGTATTTCTCATCTTAAGTGGTTGTGACAGGAGCAGGAGCATAGTGCTTCAGAATGGTTCTTAAAGTTCTTAAAGAACCTGCAAGGCAAAAAGCTTGCCATTTCCTTTGTATTGTTTAATTATCTTATTTGTCTAATTGTAATTTTATTTGTGCTGTCAATTAAAGTTATGTTTGATGAGCTGTTTAGTTACTATAGTAAGAGTCCTGGCAGTGCAAAGGACATCAGATTCAGTCACAGAGGAAAAGTGTCTGTGCACTCAATGTCGTTTTCAAAGATCTTATCTTTTCAGTTTACTAATTTCCACTGCTCTTTGTAGCCTTTTTTTTTTTAATAAAAATGACTCCTATTTATTGAGCATTTGCAACATATTAGATAATATGCTAAATACTATACATGGATTATCTCATTTAGTCTACACAGTAGATCTTATGAGATCAGTTCAGTTAAGTCACTCAGTCGTGTCCGACTCTTTGCAACCTCATGAATCGCAGCACGCCAGGCCTCCCTGTCCATCACCAACTCCCGGAGTTTACCCAAACTCATGTCCATCGAGTCAGTGATGCCATCCAGCCATCTCATCCTCTGTCGTCCCCTTCTCCTCCTGCCCCCAATCCCTCCCAGCATCAGGGTCTTTTCCAATGAGTCAACTCTTCGCATGAGGTGGCCGAAGGATTGGAGTTTCAGCTTTAGCATCAGTCCTTCCAATGAACACCCAGGACTGATCTCCTTTAGGATGGACTGGTTGGATATCCTTGCAGTCCAAGGGACTCTCAAGAGTCTTCTCCAACACCACAGTTCAAAAGCATTAATTCTTCAGTGCTCAGCTTTCTTCACAGTCCAACTCTCACATTCATACATGACCACTGGAAAAACCATAGCCTTGACTAGGCAGACCTTTGTTGGAAAGTAATGTCTCTGCTTTTTAATATGCTATCTAGGTTGGCCATAACTTTCCTTCCGAGGAGTAAGCGTCATTTAATTTCATGTCTGCAGTCACCCTCTGCAGTGATTTTGGAGCCACAAAAAATAAAGTCTGACACTGTTTCCACTGTTTCCCCATCTATTTCCCATGAAGTGATGGGACCAGAAGCCATGATCTTCGTTTTCTGAATGTTGAGCTTTAAGCCAACTTTTTCACTCTCCTCTTTCACTTTCATCCAGAGGCTTTTTAGTTCCTCTTCACTTTCTGCCGTAAGGGTGGTGTCATCTGCATATCTGAGGTTATTGATATTTCTCCTGGAAATCTTGGTTCCAGCATGTGCTTCTTCCAGCCCAGCGTTTCTCATGATGTACTCTGCATATAAGTTAAATAAGCAGGATGACAATATACAGCCTTGATGTACTCCTTTTCCTATTTGGAACCAGTCTGTTGGTCCATGTCCAGTTCTAACTGTTGCTTCTTGACCTGCATACAGGTTTCTCAAGAGGTGGGTCAGGTGGTCTGGTATTCCCATCTCTTTCAGAATTTTCCACAGTTTATTGTGATCCATACAGTCAAAGGCTTTGGCATAGTCAATAAAGCAGAAATAGATGTTTTTCTGGAACTCTCTTGCTTTTTCGATGATCCAGCGGATGTTGGCAATTTGATCTCTGGTTCCTCTGCCTTTTCTAAAACCAGCTTGAACATCTGGAAGTTCACTGTTCACGTATTGCTGAAGCCTGGCTTGGAGAATTTTGAGCATTACTTTACTTGCATGTGAGATGAGTGCAATTGTGTGGTAGTTTGAGATAGGTACTCATTAATACCCAATTTATTTTATTTTGTTGTTTGCACTTTGGTTTTGTTTTCTTTACATAATGTTTTCAGATTTCAAAAGCAATACTTTTTTGCTTGTTGTAGTAAATGAAGTAATAAAATGCAGAGAGGTATAAAAGCAAAACTAGTAATTGCCCCCTCCCCTCTACTTCCCTCTCTTTTATGTAACCTGGGCCAGTGACTTTGTGAATCCTTTCTGAAGCTTTCTTTTTCACTTAAAATTTTTAATTGTACGTTTATAATTAGGGTTTTGCTTGTTTTTACTGAAATAGGAAACTTTATGCATATTTTTCTGTTACTACTTCTTTTTTTTTACTTTATGGACGTTCAACAATCAGGAAATATATAACTACCAACTCCTTATTTTTTCCAGTTTCTTTATATACAAGTAAGTACATATTTGCATTTGTGCTTAAATCATACCTCAACTTGAAGAGTGGGGTCCAAAGTTCAATTTGATAACATGTGGGGTAATATTTAATGGAAAAAAGTTATATTTTTCAGTAGTCACAAAATGCACAAATGAGAAGACTATGATACTTACATTATGTTATTATTTAGTCGCTAAGTTGTGTCTAACTCTTTGTGACCATTTGGACTGTAGCCTGCCAGCCTCCTCTGTCTGTGAGATTTCCCAGGCAGGAATACTGGAGTGGGTTGCCATTTTCTTCTTCACGGGATCTTCCCAATCCAGGGATCGAACCCATGTCATTAGCAGACAGATTCTTTACCACTGACATTATACAGACTAATATTTTTTTTTAGTTCAATGAATGAGAAAATGCTAGATGACTGTGACCATGTGGAGGATGGACACTCTTGCCTATCAAGTTGTATCCTAATCCATGTCGTAGCAAGTTTTTCATTACTTTCCTTAATATCAGTGTAATCATAGCATATATTCTGCCCATTTTTCCTTTTCAACCCCAGAAACCCTTCTTCCTTACCACACTGTCAATCATCTTATTGGCTATTTGTGTGTTTCCTTCCATGTTTGTCTCCAGATTCACAGTCACACAACACACGTGTGTGCACACACAAACACATTCATGTGCACATATGTTTTGGGGTTTTGTTCAATGTTTACTCTTTAAAAATGGGATCACGGTGTATCCACCTCTATGCATCTCGCCTTTATGATTTAAAAATACATCCAGGAGAACCCCTCCAAGTCAAAGATATACCACTAATTTGTTCTTTTTAATGGCTGCTTAATATTTCACAGTATAAATGAGTCATCATCTATTACCTTATAATGCAAACTCATTTTGTTATTTTTTATTTTTTTCTGCAGTAAGAACACTGCTTTAATAAACATTTTATTTGTAATTTTGTTTTTGTGGAATTGATTTCCAGGAGTGTGATTTGTTGGTTGAAGTGTTGATGTATTTTTAATTTAAAAATATTTGCCCAACTGCTTTTCAATAGCTGTGAACAAATTTTTTTCTCTTTATCCTGTTGACAGTTGGTTTTTGCTCTCTCATTTTTCTTTTATCTGATTGAGTGTAGAGGAATGTATTTTTTTTTAATGTAATTTGCACTTCTGTAATTGCTAGTTAGTTGGAGCATCTTCATGCTGTGTAGATTTGTTCTCATAGATTCCATTTTCACATCTTTTACCAATTTTCCCACTGGATTGTTTGTCTCTTGCCAGTTTTTAAATGCGCTTTGTATATTGGTGATGACTATTAACTCATTATGTTACCTCTTTTTCAAGTATTTTCCCAAATCTATCATTTGCCTATCAGTTTTGTTTATAAAAGCTTTTGTCACATAAATTGTGTTTCATTTTTATAAACTCAAATATGGCTGTCTTTTCTTTCTGCTTTAGAAAACAGATTTTAAGTGTTGTTTCCTAGCTTTCCTTTTAATTTTTTAATGCTGTATTTATTATAATAGGCATCTATTCCATCTGGAATTTGTTTTTTATTTATAAGAGTGAAGACTATTTTCTACCAGATGGCTTGCCAGTTGTGCCAGCACCATTTATTAAATAGTCACTCTTTTCCCATTGAATTGAAATGCATTTTTGTCATTTATTAAAATCTCGTATAGACTGGATGTTTTTTGGGTGTTCTGTCCTGGTCCACTGATTGATATATCTCGTTGTTGTGGTTGTTGTTTGCTCGCTCAGTCGTGTCTGACTCTTTGTGGCCCCATGGACTGCACTACTCCAGGCTTCCCTATCCTGTACTGTCTCCCTGAGTTTGCTCAGACTCGTGTCCATTGAGTTGATGATCCCATCCAGCCATCTCATCCTTTGTCACCCCATTTCCCCTCTGCCCTCAATCTTTCCCAGCATCAAGTTCTTTTCCAGTGAGTCAGCTCTTTGCATCAGGTGACCAAGTATAGTTTGATGTATCTATTCTTATACTAATGTTCCATATTGATTTAATTACAGTGACTCTATAGTGTATTTTCTTCCATTTTTCTTTTTCATTCTTTTTCTGCTTTCTTGGGCATTTATTTTCCCTCTAAACTTTAAGATACTTTTATCCATTTAATTAGAATAGGTTTTTATAAAAAAGACAGTTGTCTTCACAAATATTTTTTAAATAAAACTTTATTTTTTAAAACAGTTTTAGATTTACAGAAATATTGTGAAGATAGTACAGAGGGTTTCTGTGTACTCCTCACATTTTCCCCATTTACATTTTATATTAGTATGATATATATGTTACAATTAATGAGCCAGTACTAATGCACTGGTATTAAGTAGAGTCCACAGTTTATTCGAATTTCCTCAGCTTTTATAATACCAAATGTCTCTTTTCATGTATGGATGTGAGAGTTGGACTATAAAGAAAGCTGAGCACTGAAGAATTGATGCTTTTGAACTGTGGTGTTGGAGAAGACTCTTGAGAGTCCCTTGGACTGCAAGGAGATCCAACTAGTCCATCCTAAAGGAGATCAGTCCTGGGTGTTCATTGGAAGGACTGATGCTGAAGCTGAAACTCCAATCC